AATTGAACCCACTCCTGTGGCTTCCAGCCAAACAAAAGACAGACATATGAGCTGAACATTTACATTAGGTAGATACACATTCCTTGGAGAGATCAATCATGGGAGAATAGAAGGGCTGTGTATGCACAGGGAGACAGCTCGGGGGCAGGAGTATGGAGGTAAGGACACAGGGAAGAGGTATCTATGGGGAGGAAGTGGGAAGGGAGCTGTTGCATTGTGGGAAATTGTAGTCAATGTCATGAGACAAAGTATATGTGAGCTGTCGTATGGAAAGTGAATTTACTATGTAAGCTTTCACCCAAATCACAATTAAATAAATAAATAAATAAAAGAGTGAATTAAGGAAAGCAGTCCTTTGCCTACTGAGAATAGTAATGGGGACTAAAATGCCAGAGAATGGTCCAGGCCCACAGAAGTCCTCTTAGGTAGCTGGCCCGTTGCTGGGTGACCCATCCTTGTTCCCTTAACAGGTGACTAGACCCCATCAGAACTTGTGAGTAGGTTTCAAACATGTTTCAATCCTGCAATCTTTGACTAAATTTGTTGTTTCTAGTTGCCATTGAGTCCATTATGACCCATAGACTCCATGCCTTACACATGTGAAGAGAGAAAGACAGAAAGAGACAAAGGACCCTTTCCCAGAAAGGCTCTGGCAAACATATGTATGGAGATATTTGCATTGCTCTTTTCACTTAGGCACTTCCAGCAATCCTTCATTCATCCCACAAAACTTCACTTTGCATCAGGCACTCTGCTAGATGAGGATATAGAGAGGAATAAGATATGGGCCTTGAATTAGACATGGACAGCAGTGATAATAGTCCACAGTGACAGGTTTGATGGAAGCATACCCAGGGTATGTTGGTGGGAGCCTTACTGGAACTCAGGAAAATCCATGTTTTGAAGGACAGAAAGGAATTAAGGACATTAAGAAATTGGTAGACACTTTCTAGATAGAGGGAACAGCATGCACAAAAACTCAAAGCTAAGATCAGCTTTCAGTCCAAATTTCCATAGTTTCTAGATTGAGTTGTTGTTGTTGTTGTTGTTGTTGTTGTTGTGCCCTATCAATTCTGTTACTCAGCTGGGTCCTCCTCAATAGGCTTTTCTCAGGAAGGAACGGAGATCTCAGGGACGAGGATGACCAATCTGTCTTGGCTAGGCAGCAAGGACCCCAGACCTACTTGACCACAACTCCTGCATGGTCCAGCCTGGGACAGGGCCAGCTTTTCTCCTCTCCTCCCTCCTCTGTCCCCCTACCCTGTCCCTTACACACAGCAAGTCCTTATTAAGGATCTGCTTCCATAGAGATGCCACCTCAGAAACCCAAGGAGGGGTTGCTATGTGTCAGATTTGGCTTGATGGAAGTGAGATTTTTTAGTTAATCATGATTACAGCCTTAGAAACCGAATGTGGGTTGCTATGAGTCAGAATCAACTTGGTGGTTGTTGTTACGTGCTGTCAAGTTGTCTCCAACTCATAGAAATCCTATTCACAGCAGAATGAAACATTGCCTGGTCCTACACCAGCTCCACAATCCTTGCTATACTTGAGCCCATCGCCGCAGCCACTGTGTCAATCCATCTTGTTGAGGGCCTTCCCCTCTTTCATCCACCCTCCACCTTACCAAGCATGACATCCTTCTCCAGGAAATTGTCCCTTCTGACAACATGACCAAAGCAGGTGAGATGAAGTCTTGCCATTCTCACTTCCAAGGAGCATTCCAGCTGCACTTCCTCCAGGACAGATTTGTTAGATCTTTTAGCAGTCCAAGGCACTTTCCACATTCTTCAGCAGCACCACAACTCAAGAGCATCAATTTTTCTTCAGTCTTCCATATTCATTGCCCAGCTCTTATGTGCACATGAGGTGATTGAAAATACCATGGTGTGATAGTTGAAGATGTGTCAACTTGGCTGGACTCCAGTTGTGAGTGGTGGTTCCCATGATGGATCAGATGACTGAGTTCTGAGTGGCCGGTCTGCCCAAGGGGAGTTTCCCCAGGGGTGTGGCCTACCTGCAATGCTATTCCAAGGACAAGCTGGAAGAACGGCATTCCGGACTATATACTTCCTTGAGTGAGCGGCTCGCCGCTCGCCCTGGAGGTTTCGGATTCATCCTTTGTTGGGAACAGCAACCAGCGTGCTGCATGCCAGCTTGATTCTCTCGGCTCTGTTGTGCTTACGGGAACCAGGCGGCTCCGGGCCTCATCTCCTCCAGAGACAAACTTTGTGGCTTGAACTCCTCTGCCGTGCGTGCGAAAGCCAGGCGGCTCCAGGCCCCATCCCCCTCCAGAGACGAACTTTTCAGCTTGAACTTGTCGGCTTCTACACGCTTGTGAGCCATTTACCTAAGATAAATCTCTCTCTCTCTCTCTCTCTCTCTCTCTCTCTCTAAATATATATATACACTTTGCTGGTTTTTGTGTTTCTCTAGAGAACCCAATCCAACACACATGGCTTGTGTCAGGCAACCTTAGTCCTCAAGGAGACAACTTAGCTTTTCAGCACTTGAAAGAGGTCCTTGGCATCTGATTTGCCCAGTGCTACACTTGGAAGGAAAGTTGGGCAATCTACTTCCATAGTGATACTGCCTCAGAAACCCAAGGGAGGGTCCTTATGGGTCAGGTCTGACTCAACGGCACCTAACAACAACAACAACATACATCATCTGAAGTCCTGACTGCTGCTTCCATTGGCGTCAATTGTAGAACCAAGCAATGAGAAGTCTTTGACTATTTCAATCTTTTGTCTATTCATCATGATATTGCTTATAGGTCCAGTTGTGAGGATTTTTGTTTTCTTTATATTGAGATGTAATCCATACTGCAGCCTGTATTTGTCAATATGCATCAAGCCATCCTCACTTTCAGCAAGCAAAGTTGTGTCATCAGCATATCACAGGTTGTTCATGACTCTTCCTCCAACCCTGATGCCACATTCTTCTTCATATAGTCCAGCTTCTCAGATTATTTGCTCAGCACACAGACTGAATAAGTATGGTGAAAGGATACAACCTGACACACTCTTTTCTTGATTTTAAACCATCCAGTGTTTCCTTGTTCTGTTCAAATGACAACCTCCTGGTCTATGTACAGGTTCCTCATAAGTATAATTAAGTGTTCTGGAATTTCCAAATGCAAAAGCATTTGATTGTGTGGATCATAACAAATTATGGGTAACATTGAGAAGAGTGGGAATGAATGAATTCCAGAACTCAATGGTAGTGAGTGCTTTTTTTTTTTTTTTTTAGAATCATGATAAAGAAATCTTGGTAATAATGGTTAATGTGTTTGGCTACTAACCAAAAGGTCAGCAGCAAACCAACTAGCCACTCCAAAAAGAAAGAGGTAGCAGTCTGTTCTGTAAAGATTTGCAGCCTTGGAAATCCTATGGGGCAGTTCTACTCTGTCCTCGAGGTCACTATGAGTCAGAATCAACTCAACTGCAGTGGGTTTGGTTTGATTTTTTTAATCATAATGAAGGTCCCTGGGTTGTGCGAGTGGTTTGCACTTGACAACCAATCTAACGGTGGGTGGTTTGAACCCACCCAGCAGCTCTGCAGAAGGAAGCACTGACAATCTGCTTCCATAAAGATTGCAGCCAAGAAAATTCTACAAGCAGTTCTACTCTGCAAGGTAGGGTTGCTGTGAGTTGGACTTGACTCTATAGCTACTGATTTCTTTCTTTCTTTCCTTAATTATAATGACATCTTTCACGTGCATTATGCATATGACCTACACAGCAGCCCTGTGACATATTGCTATTATTAGTATTTCTCTTTGATAGATGAGTGAAGAGAGCCTTAGAGAAATTAAGAAACATATCCAGAATCACACAAAACTAGTAAATAGCAGAGGTGCCTAAAAGCAAGGCACTGATGAAGTGCTTTGTCTATAATGGTACAATGAAGCTGATTATAACTGATAATGATAGTGATGAGAAGGAGGAAATGGAAAAAGAGGAGGAAAAGGAAGAAATTAGAGAATCAGAAAAACCAGCATTTCTTGAAAGAGTTCCAATGATCTTGAATTTATTTCCATCAGGTGCAGACAGGATTTGGAAGGTTGGGCTCTCACTTTTGGGGCTTCCAGACCCATGATGTCCTGCCTGACATTGTCACGATGGCCAAAGGGATTGGGAATGGCTTTCCCATGGCAGCAGTTGTGACAACACCAGGTAGGACTTTTGGGTAGTTTGTGTATGCTTCTGGGTCTCCTGCACTGGCAATGGTATAAAACACTTACATTTGAACCTGTGTGGATTAGAGATTGTGATGGAGGCCAGATCAATTATTTCCAAGCAAATGAGAGAAACAGTCTGCCTGCCAGATTGTGGAACAGATGAAAGAAATACAACCCTTTCTGCTTTGTCATAAGACCGTCCACCTCCTACCTCCACAATGAAAACAGAACAAAACCAACCTGGAGCTTCAGGGGGTCATATTCCTGAAGGAGATGGTTACTTGGTCTGGCTACGTCAATAAACTATAGACTGAAGGAAGGTCTAGAGTGTCAGTTTACTCATCAACAAAACACTCAAATACAGGTCTATGTGATTAGGCAGAACATTACAGGAAATTAACATTAATTTCCATCTTCATGAAATTTTCCAGAAAACACTTTTTATGAACTATTTACTGTCGAAAATCTTCAAATTATTTAGTTTGTTTTTCCCACCAGGAGTAAGCATACTGTTGAGGAACTAAAGGATAATTAAGTGTCTTGGGAGATCTCAAGAAGCCCCAGTGACACAATAATGAAGCACTGGGAAGATACCTGAAAAGTTGGCAGTTCGAACTCACAGCCACTCTGTGGGAGAAACATGTGGCAATCTTCTTCTTTATGGATTACATCCCTGGAAAGAGTTCTCCAGTGTCCTATAGGGTCGCTTAGGCAGAACAGACTCGAGGCAGTAGGTTTGCTTTGATTTGTGATCTCAGCTATTTTATTGAATGAATTGTTGTTGATTGTCATAAAGTTGGCTCCAAGTCATGCTGACCTTATGTGCTGGCTGGCTGTCACTGCCGTCGAGTTGGACCTTATGTATAACAGCACAAAACATTGCCCAGTCCTGCTCTACCTTGCAGCACTCTATCACTTAACATTCTTCTGTGATCCACAGGATTTTCACTGACATTTTCAGAAGCATATCACCAGGCCATTCTTTCTAGTCTGTTTTGGTCTGGAAGCTCCCCTGAAATTTGTTCACCACGGGTGACCCTGCTAGTATTTGAAATATCATTTGGCATATCTTCCAGCATCATGGCAACATGCAAGTCACCACAGTAAGACAAACTGGCAAACAGGTGGTGGATTGAATAAATCCCACCTGGACAAAAACGTAGATGAAGGAGATGAAGTACCATGGAACAAATATATATTGTGAAACAATCCAGCAGTTATGGCACTAAATCCTGGATACGAAATTGTTTTCATGGTATTTCCTTTTTAGCTCTAAGAGCAGAATACAATAAAGCAGATTTAGCTAACGGAAAGTTCTATGTAAATTCCCATAAGTCAAGTTTTAAGGTACTTTTTAATTCACATTATACATTAAAGAGTTTGTTATCAAACCAAAACTGTTTTCTTTTATCCACTATTAGGTAAGTTAAGAATGAATCAGAAAAGATGCCATTTGTAACATACAAGTAAACCTAATCTGAATTGTGTGATGGGAGATTATGAATAGAAATATGTCATTCTTTATCCAGCTTTTATTTTCTCCCCCTAGAGATTGCCAAGTCTTTGGCTAAACGCCTGAATCATTTCAACACCTTTGGAGGGAACCCCTTGGCCTGTGCCATTGGCTCAGCTGTGCTTGAGGTACCTTCTGGAAGCCAAGTTAACATTACGTGCTATGCATTTCAAACATACACACAGAACTCTTATCACATTACATTATTACAGTGGAGAGTCTTTACTAGCTCATGAATCTAAACTAGGTTTCCAGGTGTTATCCTGCTTCACCCTTTTTTAAGATCTGCCTTGGGTGCTTAAAGCATTGATAAGAAGTAATTTATAATAAACTCCATATACATGAGAAATACAGTGAAATCCGTGAGAGCTAGAACCTGACAAGGTTACCATGTTTTTCCAGGTCTCCCAGGTTTTCCACCTTTGAGAGGGTGCAGTCTTACCACTTTTCTACCACTTGTTTTAGTGGAAAATATTTGAGTTTTCCCTCTCTGACAGGTTTTTGCCTTACACAAGTTTCAGCTTTCACAAGTTTTACTGCAGGGAGTCCTCAATTTATGACAGGATTCTATTCAAATGATTCCTTCATAAGTTGATTCTGATCAGGGCTTCAGACCAGTTCATTCTGGTTTAACCTCCTGCTGATGATTTGAATTTCCATCTCAGGTATACTGAATCTACATTTTAACAAGATCCCCAAGGGATTCTTATGCATACATAGGAATCACCTGGAGGATCTATGAGAATTCCCTGGGAATCTTATTAAATGTAGATGGTGATTCAGTATATCTGGGATGGGAAGGCAAATTCTCAGCAGGGAGTGGAACCAGAATGTACTGGTTTGAAGTCGTGATTCTAACATAAGTTGAAAACTTTATTTTTTTGAGTTTTCATTATTATTTCCTTTTATTATCAGTACAGGCAGTTCCCAGATTATGAATGAATTTCATTCCTAAATCTTTTTAAGTCACATTTTCCCCTAAGATAGAAGAGTTAGGCATGGTTCATATCTAACATCAGTTAACCAAATGTTTATCTAAGTATATGGTATATGGTATACATTTCTATGCATAATAAGCCTTAAACAAACACTTCCAGACACACTAAAACATCTTTAACATAATAATACAATAAGAAGAAGAAGAATGCTTTGATGCACATCACAAAGTAGTGCCCATTTGTTATTATGAACCATTGTATGTACCTTGAATATTTTATATAATAGGTTTTAGGATAGTCATGACCCAGAAACTGCTTGTATCTTTATGATCTGGTCTTTGAACAGCTGAGAGTCAACATCTGAGAATTCTAACATCTGCAAATTATGTATTACAACATTGCATGTAGTACACATTATTAATGATAAGATGTACAAAAAAAAAATCATTGTAAGTACAGTTTGTCATAACTCGAATACATTGTAAGCTGGGACTACCTAGATATGAGTTCCCCTAATCAGCTAGTGGCACTGTAATTTCTTCATTATCAGGGTGGCATTTTATGATAGTTAAAAACTGCTGTTCTTATTTTCACTTTAATTTTGGCTTCGTCTTGTGTATTCTTCCTTCCTGCCTTCTGTTGTGCTGTCATAAATTAAATGATTAATGAGAAATTCAGTTCTGTATAATGACTAACTGGGTAATCCAGCTATTGTGAAATACAGTTCAGCCATACAACTGTTGATTTGGCCTGTGGCCTTACTTGAATAAAAAAGTTTTTTTAAATGCCTTTACTAATATGCATAATAGTATTGCTTTAAAAATAAATAAATAAAAGTAATGTATTTCTCAAGGCTTACCACTCAGCTGCTAACCGTTAAGGTTAAGGTTGACAGTTCGAATCTACCCGGTGGCTCCACAAAAGGCCTGGTGATCCACTCCTGTAGAAAGTATAGCCTAGAAATTCCTATGGGGGAGTTCTACTCTGTCACATGGGGTAGCTGTAAGTCAAAATTGATTCAGTGGTACCTAACAACATGTTTCTGGAAGGATTCAGAAGAAATTAGTAACAGCGGCTATTTCTGAGAAGGAGCACTTGGTAGCTGGAAGGCAAGAGTCAGTGAGAGTCATTTTACTGTATACCCTTTCATACTATTTTATTTTTGAACCATGGTGTACCCGTTCAAAAACTTAACCTATTCAAAAATATAAATTTCACATATTTTAAATAAAAAAATAGGTAGAAGCTGTCCTTGCTAATTCAATTGTTATAATCAAATATGATAAAATCATGACAAAGAATGTCTAGGAATGTGCCACTTCATTTGGAAGACATTGCTGAATTGCCTAATAAGTGTTTGGGTTACCTGAACCAAATTAGATGGTAGAGAGGACTGAGGTAAACAAATAGGTCATAAAAAGGTCAAGGCTTGCCTGGAGTCATGCAATTAAGATCAGCTAAATATAAGTAGGCTCTCTGGTAGCATAATGGCTAAAGCACTTGACTGCTAACCAGAAGGCTGGCAGTTCAAACCCACCAGCCACTCCTGGGAAGGAAGGTTGGGCAATCCTACTTCCGTAGTGATACTGCCTTGGAAACCCAAGGAGGGGTCACTATGAGTCGGGGCCGACTCGGTGGCACATAACAACAACAACAACAACAAATATAAGTAGGGAGCTCAGGTGGTGCAGTGCCTAAGGCACTTGACTGATAACCAGAAGGGTGGCAGTTCAAACCCACCATCCACTCCTCAGAAGGAAGACTGGGTGATCTACTTCCATAGCGAACTGCCTTGGAAACCCAAGGAGGTTTTGCTATGAGTATAGTATTTTTCATCTATATTGTTGAGAATCACAGGTTTCTTCTGTGAGCAGAACTTAGGTGAAGTCCCTTTATATTGTCAGGTGCCCTGGCTCTGGGCCCACAGAGGCATTGGTTCAGCCAAAGAGATCAGGATTCCACACTGGAACATGTAAGCTGAGGGCTGCTGGATATAAAAAGTAAGTAAGATCTCAGTAGAGCAAGAGTCTGTAGCATTTCGTTCATCAGGGTGGCCTTGGCTTCCCCCACATGCAAGGAAAGTCAGGGCCAGAAAGTCTTATTCCACTCTGTATAAAGTTTCCAGGAAAGCCTGGCAATGATAAGCCTCAAGATTATGGTTTCTATGTTGCCAAATGCATTGAGGCGCGTCTTCTATTTTCCCTAAATTCTTGCCCACTCCTGAGATGATGGTGGATGGTGAGGGGATGCTTTCCCTTCACACAATGATTTCCATCTTCACAGCAAATCTTGTACATGGTGTGTACACACAAGACTTTGTTTTGGGCTTATTTGTCTGGTTAAATTACTGCCCTTCCCATTGTTATCCAACTCATAGCGACCACATAGGATGAGTAGAACTGCCCTATAGGTTTTCATAGGCTGTAATCTTTGTGGAAGCATAGGACCAGACCTTTTCTTCCATGGAGCAGCTGGAAGGTTCAAATCACTGACCTTTTGGTGAGCACTTAACTTCTTAACCACTGCCTGACGTGGGCTTCTGAATTCCTAAAAAGGTATCACTTCCCTCTGCACGGTTCTTCATTAATTTTAGAATTTTTTTCATAGAAGGTCATTTGTGGCTCTCCTTCAACAGGTGATTAAAGAAGATAGACTACAGGAAAACAGTCAAGAAGTTGGCACCTATATGTTACTGAAGTTTGCTAAGCTGCGAGATGAATTTGAAATTGTTGGAGATGTCCGAGGCAAAGGCCTCCTGATAGGAATAGAAATGGTGAAGGACAAGGTAAGTTCTGACCCATTTGTGGTAGTTAAGTTAGTATGTCAGCTTGCCTGGGCCTGGTTGAGTGACTGGGCAGCTGGAGGTAGTTATTCCCCATGATGAGACTGGCAATTAATGGTAGGATCTACCACAAGCAGCTGAGTAGCTGCTTTAGGGATGCGTTCTGCTTCCTGTATATAAGAAGCAGCTTTGGGAATGGTCTCTAGCCTTTTGGCACGCTTGAACCCTGTATGTAGCCAAGTTGTTGTTCAACGGCTTGCTATGCCCTTCCAATCTTGGGACTTCATCTGGACTTGAATTAGTGGCCTACCATGTTGTTTGGTAACACTGGGACTGAGCCTTTTTATTTATCAACCTTGGGCTTGTCACCCTTAGCAGCCAGTAGCTGTCTGAGTGAAGAAAAGCCTCCAGCTTCAGTGCACCAGGAGCAGGAGGCAGAGCTGAAGCCCAAGGTTGAGGGCTTTCACCCAGCCCCTAGTGCCTGGCACTTTGAACTCAGACTTAAAACCTCCAAAATTATAAGAAAATAAACTCCTGTTTGTTAAAGCCATCCCATTTTGTGCTATATTCCTGTCAGAGTGGCACTGCCCAAACCAAACCAAACTCTGCCGTTGAGTCAGATCCAACGCATAGCAACTCCTCCTTGGGTTTCTGAGATGGTATCTCTACAGAGGGAGCTCTGGTGGCACAGTGCATAAGGCATTTGACTGCTCACCAGAAGGCTGGCAGTTCAAACCCACCAGCCACTCCTTGGAAGGAAGGTTGGGCAATCTACCTCCATAGTGATACTGCCTTGGAAACCCAAGGAGGGGTCACTATGAGTTGGATCCTACTCGATGGCAGTGGGTGGGTATCACTATGGAAGTAGATTGCCTGATCTTCCTTCCAAAGACTGGCTGGTGGGTTTGAACCACTAGGCTTCTGGTTAGTCAAATGCCTTAGGCACTACGGCACCAGAGCTCCTCAGAGTGGCACCAGGTAACCAAAACACCATTGCCCTCTCTATAGATACTCTGTGGAAATGTAGGCTGAAAGCTCATTTCATTTATTCTCAAGAGCAAGCACTCCAAGTCAACAAGATTCAGCCAAAGCCTATTAGAGATTTCTAGGGAGCATGGAGTACAAACAAAATGCTGACATGTGGTGAAGAATTTTAAAAGGATGAGGGAGCACATTTGGAAAAGGGAACTGATATTGCCATTACCAGAATAGGCAAAGAGCATTGTCTATGACTGAATATTTGAAATAGGAAATATGGGAAAGGAGGAAATTATTCAGAGGCAGGCAAGTGTTAAGAAGTAAGGGAAAAGGACCAGAAGACTGTGGTGCTAAGTTGAGGTAGGGATGTCAATGATATATTGGCATTTGTGTTTGCTTGCTTATTTGTTCATTTATGAATGGGTTTCAGTCTCCCAGGTAATCAGGAAGGAATGGGTCTTTTTGAAATTCCCCACTGTCACCTCACATGACAATTACACTTAGAATTTTTTCCCAAACAGTTATTCCTCCCAGGATTACTGTTTCAGTTTCTTACCCTCCACCACACTTTTAGTTACTCAACCTCAAAACCACATAGTAATCTGTAACTCTTCCACCTATGATATTTTCTTTGCCATGTCTCTCAAAAACTTCCCTTTCTTTCCAACACTGCCCTTACAGTCAATTGTAGTAAGAAATTGTTGCTTTTCCCCAGAAAAACAAACCATAGCTTCTTTAAGGAATGTGATAGCAGGGATTAAAAATGGAGCCTTGTCAGTAATCACCACACTATTTCCCTCTAGCATCTTAGTGCTTGAAAAACTAGGTACAGCAATTTGAATTAGGGATTTTGGTGCTCTGAACAGCTCACTGAATCAGAGTGCACCAAACACAGAAGAGTTGAATTAGAGGAAAGGCACAGGGAAAAAATTTAAGGAAGCCCTACCTGGCAGAGGGCTGAGGAGAAGCTGAGAGAGGCCATTGGAAACTTCCCTGGGGCAGTCACTGACTGGTGGATGAGGGCAGCCACCTGAGATCTCCGTGGGCCAAGTAAGAAGACACCCTATATCAGCATACCAGCAACCACACCAACATACCAGCAAACAACCCAAAGATCTAACTACAGAACCTGATTTTATCCATAACTTGGGTCAGCTAGGTGCAAATGGGCACACGCAGCACCACTGAAACCCAAGAGGAGAGCTCACTGGAGCTCCAGGAGAGTGAGCTTGCTTCCCCCTCAGTGGGTCACTGAGTGGGCTTCGGTCAGCTTGGGAGGCATTGAGAGGTCTGTCTGTGCTTGTTTTTGTCACTGATATTGGGACCACAGATTACTAGCAGGCACTCCCCCAAATTCAGCGCAGCTGAAATTGCACACAACATTGGCACCGCAGGTGGGCAGTATCACAGACAAACTCCCGAGCCATTCACAATCTGGGTGTATTGGGCCAGTGCTGCATGCAGACAGGGTGGAGAGAGGAATCCACGGTAAAGTGCAGACCTGGGAATTTGCCTTGGATTGGCTTTTTGGTGACGAAGGGCCTAGGAAGAGGGGTCTTTGAGTGTGTCTGAGCCTGGTAGAAAATGGTGACACCCTAACAACAGGACTCTTTCCTGAAATTGAGTCACGGGGCTTGTAAATAACAGTACCACATCATCCACAGCAGCCCGCTCAAAGCCCTAGAAACCGACCCTAGCAATGCCAAGCTTTCCTTCTTCTGCTCTTACCTCTTCCGCCAATAACTTCACTCATTCAATAGAAGAAACCATATTTGGCCAATTACCATAAAACCTCCCGGTTCAAACTCTAAGCCATCTTTATGACAAACAGAAACACATATCCACATTCCACATAGTGATTCCACCATCACAAAGAAAACTGCAGAGTGACCCAGCATACCTGAATCAATAATAAAATAAAATACACCAGCTTCACCTTTTCAAAATATTAAACCATAAAACCAAGACAAAACAAATCAGCATGTAATCAGCAGTTAAAGACAACCTCAAAATGTCTAGGAAACAACAGGCAACCTCAAATCAAACAATAAAACAGGACAAGGCATTAGAAGTAAAACCACAAACAAAGGTCTCATTATACAAGGAGGAAGAGGAGAAAATAGAATTATCTGAGAAGGAATTCAGAAGATATGTTTATAGAGCTATACAAGAGCCTAAGGAAACCCCAAACAGAAACAAGGAGAACACAGACAGTTCCCTATAGGAACTCAGGAAAATCATTGAGGAACGGAATATTAAGATTAATCCACAATCACAAAATATTCCTGGGCAAGATGGCAGACTAGGCAGAAAGACTGCACATTCCCTCTTCAACAAAGAAAAGGGAAACCAATTAACACAGACACAGAAGATAATCCTGGACCCCTGAGTCTTGAAGGGAAGGATATAGAAGTGGACTAAACCCCAACTAGCAGAAGAATTTGCATGAAAATACCAAAAAAGGAGACATACGGAGCTGCGGTCTGGCAGCAATCCTGAGCGATCCTGACAGCACAGTTTGGAGATTCTCCAGTGGTGGTAGGACTTAAGAATTAATCTAAAAATCACTCTGCTAGCCAGGGACTGCATGGAGGACTGTGCACAGTGGCTGGGGAACAAACAGAGAAGGTGAAGAGAAAGGTGGGCTACGCTGTGGACTTCTGCCAGTCCAGAGGGTGTCGCCATTTTGTAGGGTTAAAAAGCAGCTTGACTAATTTGGAAGTTTAAAGAGACAGCGCTCTCGCAGATTCCTGGGGCTTAAGAGCACATTCTGCTTTCCAGCAACCCCAAGGACACTCGGGACCTGCAAGACTGACAAGTTTTTGAAGGTTATTCTATTGTA